TAGACACGCATCTCTTGTGTGGCTTAACCACGAAAAGACTTGTCTTCTCTTCTCTTCTCTCTGTGGCTGGGTGGTATGCAGATCGCTGACTACATTTTATATTCGACCGACTGATGATGACCCCTTGAACCGCACTGCCTTGCCCCGCCATCTGCGCATCGAAGGTGAGCTGTCAAAGCAGACTGATCGACTCCGTATACGTGTCTCGTGTCTGTGTGTGCAGAGCGATCGCCGTCTCCCTCTTACATCTGCGAGGCGCCTGCTAAATCATCCATTTAGTCTGCCCCCGGCGGCCCCAAAGGTACGTAAGTGAGGAAGAAGGGAAGAGGCTACAGGCACTTCATCGTGTCTCTTCGTCTGTGCGTTGGCGTATGTTTGGCCGTTTCGGCGGCCACCGAGAGACGTATGTTGGCCAAGCTGCAGGACGACTATGGGCCCACGGAGCTCGAAGAGAAGACCCCCACGACCAATCAGGTGTGTCTGATACTGACGTACCACACACAACGCAATTGTGGGTGCGTCTGTAGCTGCGATTTGCATGCAGCAGATCGACGTGCATTCATTCTACGTTTGTCTGTTTGTGGGTGTGTGTGCAGGTCGAGCATCCACGCGTTGATGGCGTTCCGGGTGAAACTCCTGCTCCTCCTGTATTGGTACGACACACACTCACTCACACATGGGCAGATCGACGTGCATTCTACGTGTGCGTGTGGGTGCAGGTGTGTGGGTGTGTGGATGTGTGATGCAGGTTATTTCGAGCCGCTGAAAGAGCAGTACGCCGGCAGGAAGCTGCCCTGCCCCATGTGTCGTAGGGCGTGCAGCAAGCAGCATTCAGGCCTCGTGTATGAGCAGGGACATGACTGACAGGCTGAGCGAAGAGGAGCCAGGCCACGAAGCTGTGTGTGTGTGTCTGTGAGCTGAGATGCCATTTGTGTGCTTTGACGTGCATCGGTCGTGTCGGGGTGTGTGTGTGTGTGTGTTGGATGCAAACAACCAACCAGTGCATATCGGCCTTCGTCATCAGAGATCTGATGCATTCAATCGTTCACACCACTTGCGAGCTTGCACCCTCACGTCAAAAACACAGAGAACGGTGAGGAACAAAAAGGATGATGGTTCGATGAGAGATGGCAGTCCTCAATGGCCCGATGATTCGTTCATGTCATGATCTGTGCGTGTCGGATCAATTGTGTCAGATCACGAAGATGCGTCTGTTGCTCCTGGTGGCATCCCTCCTCTCTACACGTGCATTCTCTCCCCGCCATCTACACGCCCATCTCTCCCCGCTGCGAAGGAGGATGACCCGCCAAGCTGCCACCAGTGCGACGACAAGCCGAGCTGCCAGGACCGACTGGAAGAAGGCGTATCAGGAGGCAGAGGCACGCTACAGAACGGCGCAGGAGCGCTACACAGCGGCACAAGAGCGCTACGCGAAGGCAGAAGAGCGGAATCGCGAATTCGAGAAGACATTGCTTCTGCTGGAGAACTTGGTGCCTGTCCCGCACACAGCGGAGGACCTTGGGCTGACGGAGAGGCAGCATGATGCACTGGTCGGCTGGCTGGGAGGCGACAAGAAGGCACTTAGACGCCTGTACAAGTAAGCAAGGGAGCAACACAACAAACAGCAACATCTGTCTCTTCTGCTGCTGTCTGCCTGTGTGTCATTCTGTGTGTGTCAGGGCATCGGCCGATGGGTGGTCTTACGGCAATTTCCTCCGCTGTGTGGGCAACGTGACTGGCTTCGGAATCCTTATCCACAAAGGCGAGTACATCTTCGGCTGCCACATCAATGACAGGATCAGGCAGCCGAAGGACTCGTCCAGCTGGGAATGGTATCAGTGCCCTGTGAGCTGGTTCTCACTGGCCGGCCACTACGACCAGCCCACGAGACTCAGGGACTTCGAGAAGCACAACATCTTTGTGGCCGGCAAGTACGGCTCGGTGGACGGAAAGGCTCGTCTTCTTCTCAAACAGTGTGGCGCCTTTATTGATTTCAAGTTGGGTCGAGATAATTATCTCGACAAGTGTTATCTGTGGCTGCCCAGCAGCGCGCTTCTGGCAGGCTATAGGGGCAAAATGAGCCCCTACATGACTGCTCTTCTCGCTGGCGACACGGAGTTCGACTGCGGCGAGCTCCAGGTCTTCCGCGCGTACTGATGGCGTGGGAGGTGGGTGACGAAGGGCTGTGGCTTTGTGCAGAGATTGACTGTCGAGCACTGCGCGTACTGTACACTTGTGTTTGGGACATGCATGGTTGTAGAAGTACCTGTCCGCCCGTGACACCGTAGCCGTGATTTTGCTTTGATGGCGTGTTGATTCATCGTCAACCGTATCTTGAATCCATCCGTGAGATCATGACACATCAGTGCACATCTGCCGCGATGCGCACTCGCTGCGAGTCTCTTCACATGTATATGCACGCCCATCCACCATAGTCGTCGATGCGAAGCTGCATTGCCGCGCTTCCCTCTATCTAGTCTCCCTCATTCATCGCATCATCGGCGTCTTCCGCCTCATCATCGGCATCGCCCTCCAACGCACCATCGCCACTGGCCTCCGATGCCTCACCGAGGAAGATGGCTGCGATGGGGCCTGCCGACCGCCGCACCAGGGCTGATGAACGGGGATGTCGAGTGGGGACAGAGTGGATGGAGCAGCAGCGGATGGGATCGCCGTTGCTGTCCACCGGCTGCTCCATGGTGAACAATCTCATCTTGGCTGCCAAAGCAAAGGAAAAAATCAACCAAAGAAAATTAGGCATTTCCGCCGTCTGTCATTCGCCATTCACCTGTCTGGCGGCCTCCGGCGGGACCGACGGCCGAGCCGAGAATGGCGATGAAGGGGTCGTCAAACGCCGTCAGCAGGTGCAGCTTCAATGCACCCCCATCGCTATTCTCCACCGTGACGACGGCCGTACAGCCCTCGATCGGCATGTGCGGCGATCGCGTCAGCACCTTGTCAAGAAAGCCATTCTTCAGGCCACTGCAGCACCGACACAAACACAGACACAAAGACAGACACCTGCGCTGAATTGCCATGCGTCAGTGTGCTCCACGCAATACTTACCGATCGATGTTCTTGCGCATCGGCTCATAGAACTTCATGCCGCCGCCAGTCAGGTTGTGGTAGATGATCGTGCCGGCAATGAAGGCGCTCGTCGACGCATAAGTCATCGCCCGCTGATCGTCTGTTGTCCACCCAGGATGGCTCTCGCTCTTGCACTCATCCTCGCAAATGTAGAACATATTGCACCAGACGGGCGGGTCGTCACGTTTGCGGTGTTGTTGGAAGGGGTGCTGCTGCAGGGGGTGCACTCCGTCGGTGGGGAGGGGCGGGTAGAGAGTGATGGCGAAGTCGGGCGCGTCGCGGATTGCCCGGATCTCGTTGGTGGCCGGGTGGTGGAACAGCTCGAAGGTGTCGTAGCCGACGTCCGAGTACGACTTGGTGCGCTTCGGTGGTACCTTGTGGCCTGTAGTGGATGGGAATGAGTCGCCGGCGAACGAGAAGCTGCGCTTCATCGCTGGTTGCTCGTCGATCTCCTCCCGCCGGCCGGGCGCGCCGCCGCGGCGGAAGACCACGTGGCGACCCACGATCAGCCACTGAGCGACGACACGGGGCAGCCGCAGGTACGCCTGCAACACACCCACACCCACACAACCACATAATGACCATACCCCCCCCGCCCCTCCTCCCTCATTTGTGTGTGTGTGTGTTCCTCTCACCCTTTTGCTGTCATGTTTCTGCAGATCTCTCGAGTTGAGTATGATGGGCAGGGTGCAGCAGCCACTTTGCCTCGCCAACCGCAGCGCCTTGCCGGTCTCCCCCCAGCTGCCTCCCTCCTCCATCAGCCACAACGCCCTCATCACATCGTCATTGCTCAGCTGAGGGGCGAATTGCACGACGCCCGTCAGGCCAGCCTTGCCGATGGAGTCGATCACGCGGAGGCGGAGGCCATCTCGGATGTGGTTTTTGATGAGTCGCGCCGTCATCTTGAGCCGGCCGACGCAGTGAATGTCCAGCGGTCGATACAGATGCCCCATGACGTTGGTGGAGATGACCTCAAAGTTGGCCTGGAAGAAGCAGAACCGAACAGATGCACGGCAATCATACGTTCGTGCGCGTCATGGCGCTTTGGCTGACCGATGAGTGAGTGCGTCGCTGAGGGAATGTGGCGGCCTTGACGAGCGCCTTGAGTGTGGCCTTGAGCTTGGCGAACTGCTGCGATGCATCCATCATGAGAAGCGAGCAATCCTGCCACGACACACACAGGCAAGCAGCCAGTGAAACAGTGCCGATTCCCAGCTGTGAGTGTTGCGTCGATTACGTGTGAAGAGAGGTCCGATGTGTCTACGGCAGACAGGCGGTACATCAGGCAGCTTATCTGCACGCATCAACGGCCCACACACGACCGACAGAGGCAGCAATGAATGAATGAATGGATCAGTGCCGTGTGTTCACCTCTGAGTGCTTCTGCTCCATGTCAGTCAACATCCTGCTTCCCTGCAGCCTGCAAGGCAACGTGGCACTGACTGAATGCACCGCCAGCGTGTACAACTGAAGCGTGGCGCCGACAGCCTGATGCAAAACGACTTTTCAAGCGAACGCAACTGACAGCTGCTTCTGTGCCATCCGTACCTGTGCTGCTATAGCCACGAGGAGGCGCTTGATGCTGCTTCTGAGGCTTGTATTAAGCTCGCAACCTTCCAACGGCTTAACGGCCATGACGACTCGGTCATTTCTGGCCCTGCTGCCTCTCGAGAAGTCCCGGCACCAGATCACTGCTGCGGCCCTTCCCGTCTGTCTGCCTCTGTGAACATCTGCCAACAGAGAGGCGTCTTTTCTGTGATTTTGCTGTGTCTGTCTGGCGGTCAGTCAGCCGGGCAGATCTGTGCTTAGTCGAGGGTGCTGGTGCCCCTGTTTATCGTCGTTTTGCTGATTTGTCCTCTCAAGTAGACTAATACTGTCTAACAGTTTTTGGCGTCTGCTGCATATGTACATAGCTGCCTGTCTGTATACGCATTGAGGAAGAGAGGGAGGGAGAGGGAGGGAGGAATGAGGCAGTGCTGCTGGTGCTGTTTGAGAGATAGAGTAGGTAGCAGCTTCGTTTCGGGTCTTCTGCTGGTCATCATCCTTACCATGTGTTTGCAGAGCGGCCACTCAAGTAAGGGACAGACACGCAAGGCACACAGATCGGGACGCGCCCATCTGCCTGTTTTCTGCTGCTGTGCTGTGTGTGCAGGTTCATCACCTGTCGATAGCCCCACTCTCTTGCTGACCTACCGTGACGACGCCGGTCGACCATCAGCACTGCGTCGGCTGGTGTCTGACAGCGCTTTTGATGGCGTCGTATCGACGGAGTGGCTGCCCATATTGGGTGTAGAGATAGTCACCCTCAACCACACAGCCAACGTAGAGGTGGCACCTCACGACACACACAAGGCACACATAATGATGTGTGTGTATCCCTCTCCCCTTATTCAGGCCGTGATAGCCAAGCTGTCGCAGCACAGTAATGTAGAGCACGTGCAGCCCAGCCGCCCTTTCCAGTCCCACATCATCGCCGCGCCACTTCCCACTCTCTCACGTAGACGCCTGGAAGAGCGAGAAGAGGGTCGGCGGAGGGGTGGTGGGCAGCGAGAGGCGATGGACAGACTGCAGGAGAGGCGGCACCGGCACGGCAGGGGCGCAGATGGTGTAGATGGTGGTGGTGGTGGTGGTGTGTATGGTGCGGTCAACGACCCCAATGTGACGGTGTTCGATGGATGGTGGCTGGAGAGACTGAGGATGGAAGAGGCCTGGGGATACAGCAAGGTGGGCACACGCACATGTACGTGTATTGGTGCCTTCTGTCTATGCCTCTCTGTCTGCGTGCGATCTAGTCGCTTGTTGGTGAGACGGTGGATTTGGGCAATGACACCGACAGCGATCCCATTCTAGTGGCTGTTGTCGATACTGGGTGAGCCGATGGGGAGGCAGAGGGGCACGACCAAGCCGTCTATCTCTGTTCCCTCTTGTGTGTTGTGTCTGTCGTCAATCAGTGTGAATTACCGCCATCCCGACCTGTCTGGCATGATGTGGAACAACCCAAAGGAAATACCAGGTGGGCCGGCGCAGCCACTGCACACATAGATTGGGCGGATCCGTGTGTGTGTCTTTGCTTTGTCATCAGACAACGGCATTGACGACGATGAGAACGGCTATGTAGACGACATGTGAGCCATCCACACCGCACACATACACACACAGGCATCTGGTTGGTTCGTGTGGCGGTCTGTGTGTCAGTTACGGTTACGATTTCTTCAACGGCCGCAGCGACCCCCTCACCCACAACGCACACGGCACGCACATCGCCGGACTCATCGCAGCAAAGGCCAACAACTCGATCGTATGCAACCCCATCCACACGACACACGCATCTGCCCTTACACATGTGTTTCTGTGTGGCTGCAACAGGGCATAGCCGGTGTGTGCGGTTTCTGCCGACGCGTCAAGTTGGTGGCTGTCAAGGTGTTCGACGACCGGGGGTACGGCAAGGGCGACAAACTGGCCAAGGGATGGGAATACATCGCCAAAATGGGTATACACACCGCCGCCACACACAACGACAACATAGAGAAAGCTGTGAATCCATCTCTCTGTATCAGGTGTGCGTCTGTCGACGGCGAGCTTTGGTTGGCGTGGCGCCGGTCCGTTCGACAACAAGCTGCTGCGGAAGATGGTCCAGCGGCTTGGTGACAGGGGGCACCTCATTGTCACATCGGCAGGTGGGTCACCAGATCTGCGCGTGGGCCACTTCCAATCTCTGTGTGCGTGTCATCAGGGAATGAGAATTTGGAGAACGAGTCGATGGACAGTGACGGGCGCATCACATCAAACGACTTCCCGTGTGCATGGGAGCTGCCAAACATACTATGTGTGGCGGTAAGTATGTGGCACCAGGCACTCACAGCCAAGGAGGAACATACTCGTCTGTGTGCCAGGCGACCACGCCCAGTGACGAGCTGGTCGGGTTTTCCAACATCGGCAAACGATCCACAGACATCGCCGCACCTGGTACACCCCCACACAGACACCCATTGCCGCATCCACACCCACACATGTGTGTGCGTGTGCACAGGCCACGAGCTGCTCTCGACGGCCTACGACAACGCCTACATGTGGATCAGCGGCACCAGCATGGCCGCACCGGTGGCCGCAGGGGCGGCCGCACTGCTAATGGACACCATGCCCCACCTCAACGCCAAACAAGTGAGGACGGAGACACATTGAGAGTGTGGGTAGGTCAGTATACGACTGTGGGTGTGTGTGGTGTGCAGGTCAAGGATGCGCTGACGCGATCCGCTGACTATGCGCCGTCTCTGCTGGGCAAGGTGCTCACCAACGGCCGACTCAACGCTTACAGAGCGCTCAAACACGCTTATGAGAACGACGGTACGCACAGACAGCCCCACATCTGCACCAACATCACATCTCTCTCCATGTGTCCGTTTTCATCAGAGTGCCGCATAATCTCGATGTCTGGGTGGCCTTTCCGTCTGCACGCTCTCGACCGCCCCTTCACACGCACACCCACAGGCACATACACGGCCAACTTGACACTTGCAGCAGCAGCAACTGCAGCAGCAAGGAAGAGCGGCAACATGAGAGGCGGCAACAGCAGGGGTGATGCTGCCGATAGTGGTGGCGGTGATGGCGGCAGTGTGGTGCTGGAGCTGGCTATGGACGCCGACAGCGGGCTGTGGTCCATCAGTGGACATCCTGACGTGGTTGTGCTGGCGACGGCCGTTCCAAAGGTGGGGAAAAGGTCCGCCTTTGCGAGAGACCTGTGGGCACGCTTGTATCTGCTGCGTGTTGCAGGTGCCTGGTGGTGACCCAGTGGGGGTTGAGAATGTCCCTGATCTATCGTCCAACGCATCCTCTCCATCTAGATGGCGACCACGAGACAAGAGCAACACCGACGCAGCCAAGAAGAAACGGGAGCAGCCGGGCGCTGCCACGAGACCGACACCAGGTTCGTCGGCAGCACAATTCACTCATCATCTCCACACCTGCATGCGCATACACGATGCAGGCAAGTGGCGTTTCACCGCTGCCCCACTCACCCCCAAGGCACAGCAGGAGCAACCACCAGAGGGAGAAGATATGGAAATCACGGTCTCTTGCGGCCTCTCACCCACATGTTCATTTGAGGACGGGTGGTGCGGTTGGCATGAGCAGGGAGAGGGAGAGGGAGAGGGGGGTGGCGCATGGCGGCGTGTGTGGGGTTTCGCCAGTGGTGGCGACAAGGCCAGGAACGACAACGAGCCAAAGATGAGAGTCATGAAGATGCCAAATGTCGATCACACAATGGGCACTGCACAAGGTGAGTGAGAGAGCGTGGCACCCACATCCACATACAAATCAGCAAGACACGCGTGTTGTCCTCGCGTGTACGCAGGTGTGTACGCGTCCATCCAGATGCCACTGGACGACTCGCAGCCCCCGTCCTTCCTCCCTCTCGTCTCCCCGCCCCTCACACACTCTCCCCTGTGCATCCACATGGTCGTCTCGTCAGGCCTGGGGCGCATGGCAGACAGCTACACCACGGTGCCCTCGCTGAGCGTCTCGCTCATGAAGGGGGATGCCAACGGAACAGCTCTGTGGAGCGGTGTGGTGTTGGAGGGCGCTATGGGCGGCTGGAAGGAGGTCATGGTCAATGTGGATGTGGAAAAGGGCGAGGAGGGCGGGCCTTACTGGCTGCAGCTTGAAGCCTTCGTGCATAAGGGTGCGGCGGTCGGCAAGGACGGCAGCGGCATCAAATCCAGCACATCCCTACCGGCATGGGTGGCCATCGACGACGTCCAAGCGTCGCTATCGGCGTGCAGACCGCCCTCTCTCCTCTCCCTCACCCCCAGCCCCCCGTATCTCGACCATGCATCCCCCTACTGGACTCTCTCTGGCGGCGGCAGCAATGCCACTTTCTATACGAATGGCCGGGGAGAGCTGGTATGGCGCGATGGGAGGTGGGAGGTGAGGCAGCGGGGTGATGACGGCCTCTCACCGGTCATCCGGGGCATCGTCGAGTCGCTCACAGGCAGCACCGACATGCCCGCCCTCAACAGTAGCCGAGCAGCCACACTCGCCAGGTCTCGCCCGTCCCCGCGTGCGCTCGTCCTTCCGCCTGTCGTCTCTCCGTGGACTTTGCTCGCCACACAGCGCGCCAACGAGAGCACGGCAGAGGTGTTCGTGACGCCAGCGTTCCCTGACCACGAGCAGCAGCAGGAGAGCATTTCCTGTGACTTTGAGAGCGGCCTGTGCGGCTATGTGCAAGACGGGGGCGATGACATGGAGTGGTCCATCGGCACCAAGGGCGTCGGAAGCCAGCTGGCGGGGCCGACAGGTGCGCATGGACACCAAAACACACGCATGGCATGTGTTATGGGTCATGTGTGGTGTAGGTGACGCATCGTTGGCCGAGGTGTGGGGCCGGTTCGCCTTTGTCGAGACGTCGCTCATGTGGCCGGCAAAGGGCGGCAGCAGGGCCAGGCTGATCTCACCCACACACAAACCAAACAGTCACAGACATGCGAACCAAGTAACGCACACACACACACACACGACAAACACACGGAGACATACACGTGTCCTCTGTCCATCCCAGGACGGCTGTCTGGAGTTCCGCTACCACGCCAAGGGCGCCACAGTGGGCGACCTGCATGTGTATCTGATCAACGCCACCCAGTCACATCTGCCCCCGCCCGCATGGTCGTTCCGCGAGCGTGACGGCCGTCTGGCCGACCACTGGAAGACGGCCAGGGTGGCCGTCGCACTTGATGACTCGTTTCGTGTGGTGTTTGAGGCCGTGATGGCCGAGGGCTGGCTTGGGGACGTGGGCATTGACGACGTGAACCTCTCTGAAGAGCCATGTCCAGGTGAGATGGCGGATGGGCAGATGGGCATGTGGATGCAGAGCGAATGTGTGTGTCTGTGTTGGCTCAGTGTCCATCGAGTGCTCGTTCGAGGGCTCTTTATGCGGCTTCACCAACACGCCCACAGACACTGACAGAGGCGCATGGTCGCTCGGCCCGCGATACAGGACACTCGAGGACTCCCACGCCATCATCCCACTCAACGACCACACCTCCCGGCCCCTCACCTCCCCCCTCTCCCCCATGAGCCCCACATCAACACGCGGCGAGTACCTCTTCACGTGGGTCGAGGAGAAAGCCGCCCACAAAGACAAGAAGCAGAAGAATACGACGCGAGTGGTGGTCTCGTCGCCCGTGTTGATCCCTGACGGTCGTGGCGGTGGTGTCGACGGTGATGGTGTGGAATATTGCGTGGAGTTTTGGTACTGGATAAGGGGCGGGGGTGGTTTGCGTGTCGAGAAGAATGAGGGCGGTGTAATGAGTGGGCTGTGGGAGGTGGAGGGGGTCGACCAGGGAGACACCTGGCAGGTCAGTGAGTACCCTCGCACCCACACACAGACAAGACACACTGATGGCTGGATCTCTCTTTCTCCTGTGTGTATGTCAGGTTGCCCGCACTCGCATGGCGGCCTTCGAGCCCTTCTCCATCGTGTGGATGGCCATCAAACGCCCCGAGCAATCGAAAAACGACATAGCCGTAGCTATCGATGACGTCACCATCACCCCGGTTGCATCAGACGCCCCCTCCCCCTGCACACCCTGCCCCTTCCTCGCCGTCTCGGGCTTCCCCGCCCCCTTTCGATCGCTCAACGGCATGTGGCACGCCTCCGAGCCACACGCACTCTGGCCATCCTTCTCTCGTGCGATTCCCAAGGCCGTCAATGACACACTGAGTGAGGACGAGCATCACGAGGGCGACGGCAAGTGGTCGGATGAGGCGTCCATCCACCTGGAGGAGTCTGGGAAGGAGAGAGGCCCGTTGCTGCCGCCATTAGAGGAGCTGCTGGCCAACCTTGAGAGTGTGGCCATGTACTACTCGGATACGAGGCAGCAGTGGGTGGTCGAGGGCGACAGGAGGGTGTACGCGTCGGTCAAGACGGTCAGCAACACGCCCCCATCAGCCGTGTGGACGCTGCACTGGCTCCAGACCGACACGATAGACGACAGCCCGTCACAAGAAGCTGTGCTGAAGGAGCTGGGAAGGAATGACGACCCCTCACCCCCACACCCGCCCCCTCGCGCATACACACAAGAAGCCCACACAGAAAGGGGGAGCGGCCGAGCGCCGGTCTCCATCTGGTGCTCATCAGTCAACCACTGCCCACTCATCGGCAACGGCGGGCCACTCAGCCCCCTGCCCCCTCTCCCCAGCCACAACCACAACCTCAGCAGCGCGTACACGAGCTGCCCTGAATGCGTGACGGAGGCGGGAGGCGGCACACGGCTGTGCCGATGTGACGCTGGTCAGTCCTACCACGTGGATGACGGGATGTGTGTGGACTGGGAGGTGGGGGGCGACAAGGTGGATATGTATGTCGAGGGTGGGGGTGAGAGGGCGCATGCATTGGGGGGTGCGAATGAATCGGTGGGTGGGCCCCCTGATGGGTTGGGGGATGTCCGGTAGGATACAACCATACGTAGGTAGGTAGGTAGGTGTGTATGTGTGAGTAGGTAGGTAGGTACACGGACCGTGTCTTGTCTTGTCTTGTCTTGTGTGTGCAGACTGTTCTTGCCTTGATGCGCTCCGTACTGGCTGGCCTTAGTCTGCAGACTGCTGCTGGGTGGATGGATGGATGTGCTGAAATGAGGTGCATATCTAATTGATGGATGGATGGATGGCCTCGCTTCTTCTGTATAGCTGATCTGTGTGTCCGTGTGTTACGTGAGTGAATGGACTTGCACACAGACAGAAAGGCGTGACCTGCGCATCAATACACACACTTGATATGAGAAGTCAATCTCCCGAACCACCGCAACATCAAACAGTCAGATATAAAATGCAGACAGCGATTGTGTCCCTCTGTCGGTCCACCCAGCTACACATCAGTCGGTCCACCCAGCTACACACACGCATGGCTGTGTCACATGCGCCGTACGCCAAATCTATCTCGACTCAGTCGGCCGTCAATCTATCTTCTCTCTTCCTCCCTGTCTCGCCCCGCAGATGGATGGATTGATGGACGAATGTATATTGACAAAGGCCACCAACCATCCACCCAGCTACACATACGCATGGCTGTGTGCCATGCAAATCACCCCAAACCTCTCTCAACCATCTGTGTGTACCCTCCCTCCCGGGGCAAAATTTGGAAACACTGCCCGTGGGGATAGAGCCGATACAGCGGCACCAATCGTGTTGGGCTGACGCCCACGAAGGTGTCGACAGTGACGCGTCCAGCACCGAACAAGATCCTCATCTCGCTGGCTCTGTGGCCCGTGGGTCCCACGGCTATCGGCAAACCTACGTTCACAACATGCACGACGCGCAGCACATGATGCTGACACCTTTCGTGTGCTTCTGTGGCCTCCCTCCCTTACCACCAGCATTCGTCTCGCAGTGGGTCTGCTACTTGGTGGTGGTGCTGCATCTGCCCGGCCTCGCACCACTGTCTAAACTCGCCAAATGGCATCTCGCGGTGAAAGGAGTCCCTGTAGGCGTCCCTCATATAGTCAATCATGAAATGGAGGAAACTGCATTACCACAACAGACAGACAGACACACACACACACACACCTTCGGCACATTCTGTCTAGACGTGTGTGTGTGTGTGTGTGTGTGTACTGGGAGCATGTGCGTGTCTAATACCCCCACCCGTCTCCTCCTGCGGGCAACAAGGCACACACACAGACAGGCACATTTCTCGTCGTTCGTTCGTTCGTTCGTTCGTTCGCGAGTGTGTGAGTGTGTGTGTGTGCTGTCACTTTGCTCTGGTGGGGGCGGGTCGAGGGAGAAGAACTCCTCGTCGCCTATTGACGCGGTCGGAGATACCACCTGGGGGCACCAACACACATACGGCCGGCGCGTTGACGCACGCACCCCGCCACCCTTGCACAGTGCTTTGGTTGCCTACCGCGCCCTCGTCGCCCTCGCTCATCTCCCGATCAGCAGCACTGTCGAAAACCTCAGCCGGGAGATGCTTGCGATATAGGCTAAGTATCTGATGCAAGAGAGCCAAACCGATTGCACCGACCATCCAGCCATCCAGCCATCCGTCCATCCATCCATCCATACATACCATTTTGCGTCGGACAATGTCCATGAGGGCGGTCTGGTCCTGGGACCAGTCGCCGGTGAGGCGGAGGAACGAGCTGCGGGGGCGGACACTAGCAAACGGACTGATACACACACACACACACACATACTCACTCACGCAAGTCGACCCCCGTCCCATGGCTGCCTGCCTCCTTTCCTTGTTT